AATTTTTTAATATTCATTAAGCCCGAGCTGTGCGCATTTGCTGCGTTTATGCATTGGCTCAGAAACGTGATATTCCATATCGTGATATGCATATACATGATAAATACAATGTAAGCCAAATAGAGTTCTTTTCAAATACCCTAACAGATAGATAACAGATATGATATATTATTAGATATAAGTTATTAAATACATATATATTTTTAAGTATTTCAGCACATTTTTTACCAAGAGTTGCAATGAGAGCTTTATGATTGTAAATCGAGCTGGCTTTGACGCGTTCCAGATTTAAATTTCTATATACGTGCACATATATTGATATAAGCAAATATAAAAGATTGACAATTTTTGTTGTCTTTTTCATAAACTTAGCTATTATAGAAAAAAAAAAGACAAGAACTTCACCTGCTGGCTCAACAGATCAATTTCCCATATCTGGCAGCACTGTCCATGTTTCATAACATCAAATCACGATAACACGCCTCGCATAACTGGGCTATGTTAAGAGAAATGTTAAACTTAAAAGCGACACACACAAATCCATCATTCTGCGCTGCGCTTATCAGCAGCAGCAGCGGCAGCGGCAGCAGCGCTTGTGCTCTCTGCTGCCCACTGTTATTGATCGCACTGTTAGCGCGCGCCGTTAAATGTTAGTGTTAACGCGTCACTGGTATTGATCTGCTGCTATGTTATTGGCGACTGTTATTGGCGCTGTTGGTGCGTGTACAGCGCGCTCGCACGCTCCCCCGGCTCAGATATATATGTTGTTTTTAATTTTTTCCGCGGCTTGGTGTAAGTATTTAAAAGCGCGCGCGTAACGCGCCTCAGATACTTTCCACTGTTTGGCGCGTTCGAACGTTTAACAAGATCGCTCCCGTTAACCAAATACCGAGTAACATACAAAACAGAAAAAAACAAAAAACAAATACAAATACCAATACACATAGCACCCATTTATAAACACACGCATAACATAGAGTATACGAAAAAAATTAAATAAATAAATAAATAAAAGAGAAATACAATCGAGAATCGACGCGTTTTGCTCACTTGTCGCGCATTCGCTTTGAACAATTTATATTATTTTTTTTATTGTTTTAATCAATTTTTTTTCGGTTTTCGTTTAGCCAAATGCGAATTCTGAATTTCTCGCCGCAAATTTACAGTTATTAATGTTGTCGCAGGCCAAATTCAAGCTGTTAGCCAAAACGAAAACAAGAACAAGAACTATAAAAAAGACGACAAGCGAAAAAAACAATAACAAATACAAACACACGCTGCACAGCTGACAAATAATTAGAAAATACGAATAGGAAGCACACACACACACACACACACAGGCAAAGGAAACACACACACAAAGAAAAATTAGACCAAATTGCATTAATTATAATCAAGCAAATTATAGTTCATAATCATAACAAAATTAAGTGACAAGTGCAGCGCACAGCTGAGTAAAAAGAAAATAAACAAAACAAAACTATACATTTTTTTAATAATTTTCAAACACATAAACTCGTGGAATAAGAATATATATATAAATCGAGAAGAAAACAAAAACGAAAGCGGATAGAAATCAACAAGTGCGACGCGTACTTGAGAATTACAACAGCAGGTAACAGAATATAGCAAATCAAATGTGTAAATCAGTGCCGCGCAATGCGAACGTTCCAAATTAGCGACTGCATTTCAGCTAAAAACAAGTCCAAGTGCTCGAGTCCTGTCTGCCCGACTAACAGATACCCTTAGCCCAGCCACAATCTGGCGCTGTTAGCATAACAGCATCCTTTTACATGCGCATGCACAACAGAAAGACACACGCACGCACGCACGCACGCGCGCGCGCGCTGCTTGCACGCAGGCCTCTCTCTGCGATTCTCCTTCCACCAAACCCTCACACTTTGGAAAATATGTTCTTCAATAACTTCGCTGCTTAAAGTCTGATCTTTGTGAGACTTGCAGGGCTTAAAGATGGCTAACATAAATGTGTGCATACCAAGTCCCAAGGCAGAGGCTTTAAAACTAAGGCGTTTTCCGAGTGTGAACTAATGAGTGCAGTTAATCAGAAAGTAAAACATGCCCGAACCTACTTTGCTGCAGGTAGCTCTTAAAGTTCTCGAGTAAGAACGCGGCTCAAAATGGAAGCTGAAATCGAACAAACATATATATATTTCAAATTTAAAGACCCCGTCTGCTCGTTACATGCCTTTGCACAAAGCCAATATACCCACTTTTTACCCATTAAACGCCACACAATATGCAAGATATTTGATAATTGCCAAGCGTTATCTATGGCTAATTAGACTCAATTTGATTTATCTGCCGATCTATGTAGTTCGTACATTCGAACAAATGGCATGTCAAGCAGATATCATCACATAAAGTGCAATTTCTTATGGCCTGTGCCAGATCATAAATAATAAAGAAATCTGTATAAAATGGAATTTCTATATCGTTTGCAGGTGCTAATTAGTATCAGATATGCAAAACAAAACGAAATAAAAAAACATGCTGCGCCATATAGAGAGTGCCAGTTCCCAGTTTCCCCCCCCCCCCTCACCCCTCTCCATATGCCCCCCCTCAACGTTATGTTCATCCCATTTAGCCCGAGTTGACATTGTAGCCTATTCGAGCCCGACTCCAAGTCCGAGTCCGAGTCTGAGATTGAGATTGATTCAAAGCACGGAGTGTTTATTCCATTCAGTTGCACTGCGTTTATTTGTAATTGTGTGTGCTCCTATGGCAAATTAACAGCGCTAAGAGTTAATAATGCGCGAACGCGATCATAAACAAATAAACTGGAAACTCATATTATTTCCATAAATTGTCTAAGCGCTGCTCTACCTCGCTCCCTCTCTGCCTCCGTCTCCCTCTTTCTCTTGCTTAATTGCAATGATAAGCATGCATAAATCGGTTGGGAATCGATAGACATTATCTTGGCCATAGGCACGCACCCACCCAACGGATCTGGCCAGGCCTGGCACGAAGGCCGTTCGGCATATGTAAATCTGGTGAAGGGCCCGCGCGGCATGCATTTTGCGGAAGCGTAGGCGGAGGTCAAAGCGATTAAGGCTCTAAGATTATGCGATTGTCCAGATGCTAAGATGCTTAGATGCTTAGCAGATGCTTTGCTAGTAATACGATTATTAATATTTGCATTGTTTACGCGCCGCTTGGCTTATTGAAAGCGGAACGTGCTGGAATTGAAACACGTCTGCTGCGAATCGCATACAAATCATGCATAATTCATTAATTTTATGTGCAACAAGTCTCTCTGCTCTCTCGATCTGACGCTTTACGAAAGCTCGTTTTCGATACGATTTTCGGATTTCGTTTCGACTTCGATTTCGATTTCGGTTTCGGTTCCTGTTCTCCTTCATTTCACATGCGAGCGCCGTTTGTTATCTTGGCAGGTTCAATGTAAAACGATTTGATGTACATAATTGTTGCTGTTGTTGTCTATGCTATGTTTTTTTTGTTTAATAAATATAAATAAAGTGAAAGATTGTCGCGTTGCGCGCCATAAATCATAAATTAAAACAACATCAGCATTGGCGGCTATCGGCAACAACAAAGCCAGCCAAATGAGAAGTCACGCAACTGTCACTGTCACCGGTGACCCGTCACTGCGATCACTGTTTGCAGTCACACGATCAACGGAAGTAGAAATGGCAATGAAAACAGTAGAAGCAATGGCTGCACTTTAACAGCGCTGACTGTTCATTAACAGATCCCAATATGATATGCTCATGCTCGCTGTTAGCCAACAGATAGTCCTTTAACAGTGGTCGCTGTTAGTTAACATGCATGTGAGCAGCCGTCTAATTGCACCGCCCTTTAACAGCGCTGGCTGTTCATTAACATCCGACAGACGGGTCTTACAGTGGCCCAATAAGCAGTGCTCATGCTCGCTGTTAGCCAACATACAGTACTTTAACAGCGGTAGCTGTAAGTTAACATTCATGGAACAGTCCGTTCGACCAATTGGACATGCAAACGGCTGCCCTTTGACCGCGATCGGCTGACACGTGCAGCACGGTTACCGCAAGAATGTCAATAGGCGCACACACAAATATGCAATTATCGAGTAGCAGCAGCAAGCGCGGATTAGTAACGCGTATATTGCTTTTGTTTTCACCTTTAATAAGCAAACAAGTTTCACCGCTCGCCTTGAAATCGGCTGGCCATAACAGCAGCTTAACAGTGCGCATGTTAACGCTATGTTAACGGGCAGCGCAGCGATTAGTCGCACATTTTCGGGATTATTAATATTATGCGACTGCAATTACCCGTTAATGAATGCGTCGCAATGGCTGGTTACATTTCTTGATCGCTTTCATTTATTTGTGTGTTATGGTTATTATTTAATTTTTGTATATTTGCTTTTTTGCACGCCTTCGGCATTTGGCTCATTCGCTTGTCTATTTTTGGGCATAATTTTTTATTAAACAATTAGGGCGTTATGTGACTGAGCGTTTCGGAAGAGCGTTTGTGGCGTCAATTAGACGATCTACGGCCACATTCAGGCGTCGATCATCATTGCCATATGCATATGTATATACCCACACACACACACACACACGCACATTTGGTGTTTGCATTTGTATTTGTATACCATTTATTCATTTTCTTCAATTACACTTTAATGGGCTATTAATTTAGACGCCCAATTGAACGATCGTCCGATCGAGCGTGGGGTCGATTTGTATTGGCCGATGATAGGTCGCTGAGCCTATAGATACTTGAGAAAAACAACAATTGCAATGCATGTTAAAGCGAATGTTAAGGCGAATGTAAAGCCAAATGTTAAAGCGAATGTTAACGGAAGAGTTTAAACAATTTTTAAAGCGAATGTTAAGGCGAATGTTAAGACTCATGTTAACTTTATGTTAACAACAGCTGATGATAATGAGCCTTAGCCGCCCCCCCCCCCCCCCCCCCCCCTGCTTAGTATTATAATATATGCTCCTGCTAAAACAATATTTTCTTTTTATTTACAGATCACTAAGAAATCAAAGCATAACTGTACTTTTCTGAACATTAACGCTTGCCAAAGTAGAAGATCTACTAACTAGTCGAAGGAAAAACCAAAAAGAAAACAAAAAAAAAACTAATCCACACCAAAGTTCACTTCATTTAATTTTTTTTGCTACGCGCACAAAAACCAAACAAAAACTTGAACTATAGAATGGTAGAAGGTGATTCTGCAAAAAGTAAAAGCGAATGTAAGTAAACAAACACAGCCGAGATCCACTAGATAATTGCTGCGCCAATATTTATTTACAATCTATTTATTGTGTATTATAGCCTATAATGTAGAAGCTGGCCTACAACCAAACTACAATCAGACTAACGCGGCAGTCGCGGGCAACGCAGGGAGCGCAGGGAACGCTGGCAACGCAGCAATCAATCCAAACAATTCACCCAGCCTAACCGGCTCGAATAGCAATAGGAGCAACGCGATAGCGCATATTGATAATCGTGCAATCATCCAACCGTATTCACTGGGCACGGGCGTTAAACAGCCGGAATATCAATTTGCGGCAGATAATCGCGGCTACGAGCCGGAACCAAATACCAATGGCAAGCATCAGGACGTAGAGCGCAGCGGCGCTGGCGCTGGCGGTGCCGGCGGCGACACTAGCTCCGATGAGGATGGGAAACGTAAGACGCCGTTGCCGCCACCGAATCGGCCCATAGTCGCAAACTTTGAGCGGGCCATCGAGCTGTGCGAATATGGCAAATTCCATTATATACTGTTGGCCATTTGCGGGCTGGTCAGTACATCGGAGGAGATGGATGTCATCTCGATGTCGTTCATATTGCCATCGGCCCAGTGTGATTTGGATTTGAATACCGCGACGAAGGGATGGCTGAATTCAATCATATTCATTGGCATGATGGTGGGCGCCTATTTTTGGGGCAGCATCGCCGACAGTTTTGGACGCAAAAAGATTCTGATTGTCATCTCGTTCATGAACGGTCTGTGCATTGTTGCCTCGTCGTTTTCGCAAAGTTACGTCTATTTCATGCTCTTTCGCTTTCTCAATGGCGCAGCGTAAGTACACCATCAAATCAAAAATATATATTACTTTCACATTTCCCTGTCAAAAAACAAACCCAAGTTTATCAGGCAGTTTACAAGCCAGACACAAGCTGCCTGCATTGCGCAATGAGAGCCCGCTGCAAGGTACTGTTAGGCCTGGCGTTGCCACACCAACACAATTCACTTTTGGCTGTTAACATTTAACATGAGCTTTAACATAAACACGAGATAAACAAACAGCACATAATCAAAATTCAATGATATACACATGGATATTCAGTCAATTGTCCGACGAGCTCTCTCGCTCTCTCTCGCTCTCTCTTTCGCTCTCTCTCTCTGTGTTGATCTAGTGACACACGGCCAGCATGGTTGGGGGTATTCGGGCGCCGAGGTGTTAATTCAATTAACTATGTTATAAATAACAACAAAATATTTGAGCCGCAATATCGTGACTGTTTATGCTAATTAAGACTCTGGCCAGTTGTGCGAGCGTACAAACATATATGTCATGCATATTTTGTAGATATTATCATATTACAGGCCTGCCGCATGCGAAATTGCCCCAAAAAAAATCAAAACCCCAAAACAAAAATGGGGAAAAAATAGCATTCGCCTTGGCCTCTCTGAGTCAGTAGGCAAAATCCCAGTGGCAAGCCACAACCCCGCCCCCCCCCCTTCCCCTCTCCCCCTCTCTGCCGCCCTACTCCAGCTGCTATTTGCAGACTGTGACTGTGTTGATGTTCATTAGTTTTGCCAATCGTTTGCTAATTGCTTATGCGAATTGAAACTGGGAGTCGATTTTACACAATAACATTAATCGGCCATGACACGTCACGTTTCGCGCTCTCTCTCTCTCTCTCTCTCGCTCTCACTGGCTGACTGCTATGAAACTGCATGTTAGCTGCATTTAACATTCGCTTTGGCTTGTTGATAATTGATTGAGTTTCTTTGTTTTCTTTACAGGCTGGGCGGCAGTGGTCCTGTCATCTGGTCGTATTTCGCCGAATTCCAACCGAAAGCGAAACGCGGCTCCATGCTTAGCTTCATGGCTGCCTTCTGGACCTTTGGTAATCTGTTTGTGGCCGGCCTGGCCTGGCTGATTATTCCGACACAAATTGGCGTTACATCGCCATATTTTACATACAATTCGTGGCGCATCTTTTTGCTGGTGTGCTCGTTCCCATCGTTTCTGGTTGGCTTTCTGCTCTTCTATCTGCCGGAATCGCCCAAATTTCTGCTGACACGCGGCAAAAAGGACAAAGCTCTGGCCATATTCCGTGGCATCTTTGTGACAAACACACGCAAAAAGCCCGAAGAGTATCTGGTATACGATCTGGAGGTCGACGAGAAGCTGGCCACAGAGAGCGCCGTCGGCTTCAAGGGCAAATATCATCGCATGATCACCGGCATGGTTGATCACAGTCGCGACCTCTTCAAATCGCCAATATTGAGATTTACGCTCGTCTCGATCACCATCAATTTTACATTCCACATTGGCTACTACGGCCTGATGATGTGGTTCCCCGAGGTGTTCAATCGCTACGAGGAGTTCGAGAAGTCGCATCCCCAGCAACAGGCCGACATCTGCACCGTCACCGAGTATGTGGTCAATCAGAGTCAGGCGGCCAGCAATAATGGCACCTGCAATTCGGATATACCATCGTCGGTGTTCATGGAATCGCTGATAACGCTCGCCTCCGCCCTGCCGGCCAATCTGTTTGCCATTTTGGGCATGGATATGCTGGGCAGACGATTCTTTCTGATTGCCGGCACCATGACCGCCGGCATATGCTCTGCCCTGATGTACTTGGTGCGCAGCTCATTGCAGAATCTGCTCGTATCGGCCGTGTTCAGTGGCGCCATATCGGCGGCAAATGCGGCGCTCGATTGTCTCATCACCGAAGTATTCCCCACCAAGTTGCGTGCGACCGGCGTTGCCATATCGATGGTGGCGGCGCGTCTTGGTGGCATCATTGGCAACATTGTAATTGCCCAGCTGCTCGATCATTTCTGCCCGGTGCCGACATTCATTGTATCCGGCCTCCTTATCGGCGGTGGTCTCATGTGCCTCCTGCTGCCCAATACGACGCGAAAGGAGCTCAATTAATATCCAACTGGATAAAACTTTGATAAGCGTCGTCAACGCGTCAACTCAACCCACTCAAAAAAAAAAAAAGCAAAAAAATACGGTATATACCAAAACAGCCAAAAAATAACAGAAGAAAATACCAGAACTTCCCCCACCCCCCCCCCCCCCTCAGCCCCTCGTATTGTCTTTTCTTTGTACGTACGTATTTACGCATATTACGATTTTTTCGGATCGTCAGTAATTATGATTAATGATAACGATAACGATAACGATTTTTTTTGTGTCTAGCTTTTAAGAGGAAATTCCGTTTCATTTTCGTTCTTCTTTACAATTATTATTCTTTTTGTTTGTACAACGGAATTTAAAAAATGCCCTAAAGCCAGCGAGAAGATATATATATATATATATATTGCATATATAGTACACACATGCCCATAAATATATATATACATATGTATGTATATGTGTCTTTATGTGTCTATCGATAACATGCTATCGATATGTATGTATTTTGTAGTTGTTGGTAGAAATAAATTTTAAAAAAAGGAAAAAAAAACACAAAAAAATAAATAGCAAAAAAAAAAAACTAATTTGGCAAGCGCCGGCGCCAGCTAAAAGCAGCAGCAGCAAGAACATATAAAAGAGAAGGAAGTGAGAGAGAAAGAAAGAGAGAGAGAGAGAGGTGATTGGGTTGAGGATCGGCTGGATGGCAGCAGAAGAGACGAAGGATCAAGCAGGGATCAATGCGAGAGCAGCAACGCCTGCTGGCAGTTATTGTTGTTATTATTATTATTATTATTATTACTATTATTATTGCTATTATTAATGCATGTTACATAATAATACACATACACATACATATATGCCTATACATACAAACACATATATATAATTCAAACTAAAAACTAAAACAACCAACAACAAAGTTTTAATGTATAAATATACATTATTACCATGAAGATTATTATTATACATATTTTTTTTTTGTTTTTTTTTTTCTCTCTCTCAATCGTTATTTAGGGCAGAGCACAGGAAGAAAACGATAATTTGCAAATTTTAGTTACCATATGTTATAAAAATATAAACAAAAAAAATTAAAAAAAAAAAAAAAAACGTTATTATATTACATAAAACAATGAAAAGCATATAAACAAAAATTCCCAAATACAAAATAAACATCACGCAACAAAAAAAAAATATGTTAATGTTTTATTAATTTATTTTACTTAAATGTTTCCATTTTAAACGATTTTATCAGTGGAACTGCTTACTTCCTTTTTGTGGCCTATTCCGCCAGCAGGCGCGGAAAATGAGTGAAAATGGATTTAACGCAATTATCACGCGTTTTTCTACATATCTTTAAAGTTCTATACACATATATTCATACATATATACACTCTATTGAAATGCATTTTCTAAAAAAAGTTTTAGAAATTTATTTAAGACAAGTGTCATTAATAAAAATAAAAATAAAAAAATAAATAAAAATTATTACTTTTAAGAAATATGAATAATCATTGCTGAATAGAAAACAAGGCATAATTATATTGAAGCAATTGTGACAATTTGAAGCAGCTGAAAAACTGGAATTCTTTTGGGAATTATGAATAATACGAATCGAATAATTTATTACCAGAATCTAATGTAAGGCTGTTCGCAGAATTAATGAATTAATTGAACCAAGGCTGCAAAACAGTTTCGGAATTCTCATTTTGATGCCTCAACAATCAAACGAATCTTACGACAAATCAGATCCAAATTCTTAATATTTTCCTCATGGTTTCAAGGCCTAAAAACTTGGACTTCAACTGTTCGACATACACCTAGCCATACAAGGGTACATGCCATACGAGGGAGATGCCAGTTTTCGGGTATTTTGCGTACAGCCAATTACAATGCTCACTTAATTAATCAAAAAATATTGCAAATATGGGACAAGCCAAGGGTTGAGCAGAAATTTGGGTTCATGGATGCGGCAAACCAGCTGCACGAGCCAAGCCTCAGGGCAGGAGCAGTTGGTTCGAACTGTAAGCCGAACCAGCGACATTTTTTCTCTGGGTACCTGGTGAGAACAGATTATTCCGAAAAGTTGAACCATTTAACTGTTGGGAACAGGTTATATTGAAAGGTTGAACCATTTATCTTCTGGGAACAGATTATTCCGAAAAGTTGAGCCAGTTAACTGCTGGGAACAGATTATTCCGAAAAGTTAAACCATTTAACTGCTGGGAACAGGTTATATTGAAAGGTTAAAGAAGTCAACTTCTGGGAACAGATAATTCCGAAAAGCTGAACCCGTTAACAGCTGGGAACAGATGATTCCGAAAAGTTGAACCAGTTAGCTTGATGGGAACAGATGATTTCGAAAAGTTGAACCAGTTAACTTCTGGGAACAGATTATTCCGAAAAGTTGAGCCAGTTAGCTGCTGGGAACAGATAATTTCGAAAAGTTGAACCAGTTAACTACTGAAAACAGATCATTTGGAAAGGTTGCGCCAATTAAAGCCAGTTAAAAAAGAGTTTTCATTCTGGTTTTGACCTTAACCAGTTACTGGATGTTTGCTCTAAGCGATATCCGTTAGTACTACAATATCGGAATATCCCATAGAAAACCCCATCAGCTGCGTTCAACTAACTGAGAGGGTGTCTTCCTTGTTGTGCAATAGATCTGATTGATGCAGGAACAGAAAATGACCATACCAAAAGATTATATTGATTAAATTAGGAACATAAAAGTAACTTAATTAATCGTGCGAATTGAGAGCACCAAATGCAGCTGCCACTTATGATATGTATCTTATTGATTAGGGCGAAGATCAATGGATGTCTAGCCAGGCTGCCCCGCCCACAAACCCACACACAGCCCCACCCACAAGACCAGTCAGTTACTGTGCGGTACATTTTGGTATTTACGGCACGCAAAACATTCAAACAAGCTAAATATACATGCATTTAAAAGCATTTCAGAGATACAGATACAAATGCGTATACGAGATACATTTGTATCTGTATCTGTATCTGGTATCTGCATTTGCTGTACGTGGGATGCGCGCACACGCGACTTACCTCATATTTATTTGCTCAATGAATTTTTGCAGCGTCAGCCAAATGCTGGCAAAGTTAGCTTAAAACCAGAATTAACGTTAATTAAATAAATACACAGCAAGAGTCAAATAGACACGTTTAATAGATACATGTACAGATATATATATATATGTATATCTATATATCTTTATCTAAATATATATATATATATAGCTCTAGCCCCAGGCAAAAGCTGCGTCATGGCATGCTTGAAAAAATCAACAGCAGGAGAAAACCGTAGATCTGACTAATATCCCAAATAACTGAAGAACTGAACTGTGCTTTGATTTCTGGCAATTTCGAGAGAGTTAAGACCTATAATAATAAAAACTTAACTCATTTTTGAAATGCCACCTCAGCTAAGATATGATATGATATGAAAACAATAAGCTAAATAACATATTCCATCTTTGTTAAATAGCCAGTCCATGTAAATGCGCTATAAGCTACGCAACCTTCTAACTACGCTTAACTCTTATAGTCTCTCGTTAAAAGGCGAGAAAGTTGGGATATCTATGGCACACCGAAGAGTAAATACCCTTGTAGACATTTGCCTTACGGCTTAGCAGAAATGTGAGGAGAGTGAAGCTCATTCACGCTGAGTTTGATGAAACTATCTTTTTATATATCTCATCTCATTTTTCGACTGATTCTGCAAAAAGAACTATATAATATGGTAAAGCGCTCTTGATGGGATGTGTAGTAGAGATTGTAAATGCCTGGGTTGATCAAGATATCTTGATGAACAATAAAGTTTTTCATAGAACCTCATTTTTGGACAATCGTTACCATGACAGCTTTATGATATAGTGTTTCGATTTAGATAACAGTAAAACTTATAAATGCCGAGCTTATAACCTGAAACTGCTCTTCGACCGATCGTTCCTATGGCAGCTATAATATATAGTGAGCTATGCAAGGCTTCAAGACGAAGCTTTAAAACTGAGAGACTAGTTTGCATAGAATCAGACAGACAGACGGACTGATAGACGAACGGATGGACGGACAGATGGACGGACGGACTGATAGATGGACGGATGGACGGACATGACAATATCAACTCAGCTATTGCTGCTGATCTAGACTATATATGCTTTATAAGGTCGAAGATGTCTCCTACTATGCGATGCACATTTCAGGACAAAATTATAATATTATCTACAAGAACATAATAGTTATCACAATAATAATAATAGTAACAATTATATTATTAATAATAGTGAGATTTTGCATAAGTACATACATGTGTTTGGATTCCGCCTTGTAGCTCCACACAAGAAGGACATTTGGCAATGGCATCGATGTTAGTTTCAGCCATTTGTTGGAATCGGATAACGTAGTCGAACTTAAATTACAAGTCTTACAATTTGTAACAAATTATTTACAATAATAGTACTCAATAATTCTAGAGCATGGTCAAGGGAAATGAAAATACAAATAAAACTAAAAATAAATAGAAATTCTCTTAATGCCAATTAATGTGTTGCGACAAGTTAAACAATTTTTTGTTGAACGCTTTTCAAATGCATTTTTGACAAAAACAAATTAAATTGAAGAATTCTAAGACTAGTTTGTATATGACAAAATTATAAAAATTTTCATAATTGTTATCAATTAATCAAATTAAAAGCCAGCAAAATACAAATAAACCTCAAAGTTATAGCAAAAGTTATACAAATTTGTTTAATGAATTTTCGACAAACAAAGAAAATGTCTTCAATTTAATTTGTGAGACTAGTTCGCATAGATTGTGAATCATTTTTATCAATTATTATCTGCAGCTTGTTTCGACAAAGTGTAGAATTTTTGACAACAATTTGCAATAAATAAAATAATTTTTAACAATTAATAAATAATAATTATTAATTAAAAAACATTATAACTGCAAAACTGTAGAATTTCATTTATAAAGTTAGTTTTTACATGCGAAATTTTGATTTAATAAATTATTAATAGTTTTAATTAATTAATCGAAGTAAACAATTTATTAATTTACCACAACAAAATTAAGTTAAGATATTCGCAGAAGT